CAGTGCGTCCGTGTTGGTCTGCTCGAGGAGAATGAGCAGCTAAATGGTGAGAAGTATGGGCTTGAGGTTTCGAGACCTTCTCTATTTCTCTGGAACACTTGCTTGCTTTTACTTTTGAGGCTTTCAGTAGTGAAATAGTTAAAGAAATTAGTGCCCAATCTAGGGCAGCTGGGGGTGAAGCGTTAGATGATACCGCTACTAAGAGCGTCGCATCTGCTGAAGGTGCGGCAACAGAGTAGTTGTGGGATGTCCAAGCTTCTGAAATGTAGTCTTTTAGGTAGCCTTTAGGATTTTCTTTGTTTTTCCTTGTAGCTCTTGTTTTACTTGAACTTCTTCAGCCTTTGCTAGTTGTTTATAAACATGCTTCCTTTGTTTTTCTTCATCTTCATTTCTTTTGTTCATGTAGCTTTTAGGTACCCTTTGTTTTTCTTGTAGCCTATGCTGTTCCTTGTGTAGAACTTTGCAAAGTTGTTTCTTTTCAGCCTGAATGCCTTCTTAGTTGAAGTTCAAGTCGCGTAACCACTTGCAAGGTTCCCTTTAGTTTTTAGGCCTTTTGATTTCAAAGTGAAGCTTTGTTCATGCGCTCAAAGGTTCTTTCGACAACGTAGGCATGTTTTATAGATAGCCGTTGTATTAGCATGCTACTATAAGAATGTGTGGTTTATAGTCTACGTGGTTTAACTGCATGCTATTAAAGGTTTGATAAGCCGTAAGCAGTAGGGTTAGCAGCCGGAAAATGCAGCTAGATACTTGTGCACTGTAGAGACTTTAAGTTGCAAAGTTGTTAGCGTCTGCGTAAAGGCACTCTAGGGGGCAGTGGCTTACGGATCCAAAATAGATCACCTTAGGTGCCATCCCTAGCCTTACATTTTGTTCGAAGTCAAAACACTATTTGGGGCATGGCTAGGTTTTGGCCTATAAGGAGTGTAGGTTGCGTATGCAAGTCACCAAATTGCTTTAGTATGGTGGTAAGAGGGCAAGTTTCCGTATGCGTCTTGGCGGTGAACCATAGGACCTTCATGCATGTCGACAATGGATACCAGACTTTGTGAGAGTGAGAGCATGCGGGTATTGGTTTAACCTTTCATAAGAATGTGTTTTTGCTCAGTCTAGCGTGGCAGGTCGACCGCAATGATTAATTCATAGCAGCATCTTCCAAAATCCAAGTTAGCTAGGTGCACTCGGTGCAGCTTTAAAGGTTTTGAATGCCCGGTCTAGGTACTGCTAAATATAATGTCACCCCCTCCGTCTCTAGGCCCGTTCCCCGCGGATTAGGCCAAGAGACCCTGAAATCCTTCAGTTAGCTAGCCTAAGAAAAGACCAATTTGGCTAACTTTGAATAGCCAACCAAAGTTTTGCATAGTTTACTAGGGGTCAGCCAGACTCATCCATTCTGGTATGTAGAGTAGTTTCCTATTAAGATGAGAATCTTGGGTGTCCAATTTATTACCCTCTTCACTAGAGAGCATGTTGGTCTTGGGGGCGCAATTCCTGCGATGAGTCCTTAAGAAGCGCGGGCTTCTTTTGAAGTGCAAGTAACATCTTGTTTAAGCATGCAGCCGAGCCAAGTTTTGATTACTTCGTAAATCCTCATAAGACAATTAGATAGTTTTTAATCACGGTGATTAATAATTAAAAATCAATCAATCATGCTAAATTTAATTAATCACAATTCATGCTCGCTGCAAGGCTTCGCCTCTAGCAAAGGACAATTAGTTAATATAAAATAATAAAATTTAGAACCATATTATTAAGAAAAAACGCCCTTAACGAAACAACCTTAAAGCAAATCTCCAATTAAAGCCAGGAACCCCTTAAAAGGAGAAAAGTTGCATAACAGAAAGCGTAGAGCAAAACTGGGGGAAAGATACCCTACGCCAAAAACCAACGCACAATCCCTAGAAAATAGTCTTTTGTTCCAACTAGGAAACCAAATAATAAATAAAATATCTTAGAAAATAAAGTCCTAATTATGCTAGGAGAATCTGCCAAATACTTGTCCAACCACGTTTTAGCCTCAAATATCCTCCAAATCCGGCCCATGATAACTTGTTTTGAAGATCAGGACATTTTGAACATATCACCAGAAGGCCATGAACCCATATGAGGTCATCTTAGGCTCCAAAAATGCAATTCAAACCCATAACGTCACTATTCCAGCACTGCACATCGCTCCTTTATTTTATTGCCAGAAAATCACCGCTAGGTAGAAAAATTCTAAATTTTGATATGATTAGGCCAAGTGACTCATGAACGTCCTCCAATTGAAATTACTCCAAAATTCATCCATTTGACCACGTTTCGCTCTAGAGAAAGTTGAAAGTCCTATATTGAAAATACAATTCAAAGTATCAAAATTCTTCTAAAATATTAACCAAAATATACTAAGAATAGGGTTAAATATATAATATAAAATTTACTCATCAGTAAACAACATGAGTTTGCCAAGAAGAAAACTTATGATAATTTTCCTGCCAATTCTAATACGAAATTAAACTAGTACCAGTGCAAAATTTCAATACCAATGTCAATACTAGTACCAATGCGCACTTCCAATTCCAATGTTAATGCAAATACCGGCTGAAAGGATAGATACGAATTCCAGATGCAGAGACAAATGCAAATTCCAGATGGAAATAAATGCATATGTTGATGTTGTGGTCCTTGAAAAGAAACATTTGTGCGTCTCTAAACGAACAAGATTTTTATATTCCAAATACAACACAAACAAATAAAAGAAAAAAATGATCCCACATATACAACGTTAAAAACTTCTTGAGTGGTTTGGCTACCAGCCCAAGTACCCTAGTGACTGTTGCGGTGGGCAACAACATAGCAAACTATAAATGCCCAAAAGTACAATCCTTCTCGTGTCACCCATATGAGCCTCAAAACCAACTAGTGGCTTCCCCTAAAGCTCCTCTTGAATTTCTAATTGCACGTAATCAGCAGTCCATGACACGTAGTGTACCACCATCTGGTGTTCTGATCAGAAAAATATCTCTCGAAAATCTTTGTATCTTTCTTCGTGAAACCGTTATAATTCTTTTTTGTTTCTCTTTTTCTTTTGCTATTACATGCAATTGCTTCTCCTGTCTGCATCAGATTTTCAGCGCTTTCTGTAACCTAGTTTTCAACGACAACTAAACCGTCTCAACCCAAATAACAATTCCTATGGATCTATAATATAGAAAAAGCAGACAGAGAAGCTAAAGAGACGTAGAACCGACAGACAAACCAACACCAAGAATGATTGAATTTTCTCTGATATCATGTTAAAAATAAGAATATGTAAAATAGATGAATTAACGGACTAAAAAATTATGAATAATACGTAATCCGAAAACAGTAGTGAAATCAGGAATTGTTTGGGGGATGGGCGAAATTTAAAAGAGTAAAATGTTCCAAAATAAATGTAGACAACCAAATTTTTTTATATAATAGACAATATTAATTTTGTTCATATATTTATCAAGACAAACAATTTACAATTGTTGTCGATGAGATTTTATGCTGCAAATTTGCTACTCGTTCAATAACTTTAAGGAAAGGGGGCATTGCAGTGATGTCCATCTATTTGATCATATTACTATATGGCCTCGTTTGGTCAAGATGACTGAATTTACATGTTTGTCCATTGAAATAAAATCCTAAAATTCAAACTAAGCCTATATTTGATACAAGCAACTCTTGTATGATATGCCAAATGTGAAAACAGTGATTTATCATACCAATTTGAGTTTTTTGCAAACATATTTACCTAATAAAAATGAATTTTTTTAAAAGATAAAAATTGCAATTTTAACCAATAGTTGATGTGCCAATCCTTTTCAAGCATCAAATTATGATGAAAGCTACACCCTTTCGAAAAATGATAGCTAAATTTTGCCTAAAAATCTATGATTTTGAGGCACCATTTGATTCCCACAGTAAAATTAGCAGCAAAAACGAAGGATCAGACTGGTGAAAAGCTAGTCTAAATCAAAGATCAAATTGCAATAAAAATCAAGTAAAAAATGCTTCAAGATTCAATTCTTTAAATTCCAAGCAGGAACAAACATACCCGCTTATTCATCAATAATCATATGATTCATATCAATAATCAATACTCATATTACGTTAGAATTCTTATAAAGAAAGTCAATTAAGCAAACATTTATGTTAAATTAGGAATTAATAATTTAAATTAAAAAAAAATGTAGAAGGCACGGCAGTGAGGTGGGAATTGGGAAGTGAATATGTGAGGGTCAATGAGGACGAGTGGTCCCCCTTCTATTGTGTTTATTTTTTATGCCCAAACGACGTAGTCCAGGGTCTATTATTTTTACTTTTTAAAAGCAAACAAAACGATGCGTCGTTTTCATGGACTTGTTTATAACAAAGGAAAAACGCAGCCGTTGCATAGATATGTAACGTGCAACAGCCATGGCTTCACCTTGCAGGTTTTCCGACGATACCAGAGGGGCGAACCGTTGCTCCTAAGCTTGATTTCTGAGGAGGGGAGGGGCATCCGTCCCTCCTAGCTTCGCCACTGTCCGGAAAGACTACATCTTGTTATATATTCTTTTTTTTTTTTTTGGACAAAAGGATATGCGAATTTATTGAATGAGAAAGACAAAATACAAATACAACAAACTAGCCCAATAAAGTGAGGATAGCCAAAGCCTCAATCAGCAAGGGCCGACCACGGCCGATGCCATCCCCTTGCCAACAACTGCACAGGTAATCGCCCGAAGAAAACCAACTCCGCGTCGAATTTGACGAAGGAATCGTGCCACAAATCAACTAGCAACAAGGAAAAACCCCCAACCAAAAATCGCCACCAAAACCTCCATACCAGAGAAGAACCAACAGATATGAACCACCAAAACAAGTCCCTGCAGGTAGAACCAAAAACCAAAACAAAAGGGAAGGGGATGACGCTAAGGGGTCATCTAAACTTCTTATCCTTAAAAAAAATTAAAATAAAATAAAATAAAATAAATAAATAAAAAAAACCCAAGACATAAAACACCAAATATATTCCAACACAATAATACTAACCCCACACAGTACACTACAATAGCACAGTTAATAAGGTCACTGCCCCCTAGTACTGTTACCATTTTTACAATAATGCAGATTTCAACGATTTGATGAAGATTTCAAGTTCTTTCAACCCTTCCTTGGGAGATTTAGCTTCACCCAACACCTTCACAATGGCACTACCAACAATAGCACCATCAGCTCCCCACTCGGCTACTTTCTTTAAGTGTTCAGGCTTTGAGAGCCCAAAGCCAACTGCCACAGGCTTGCTTGTCGCCTCTCTAATTTCCCTTAAAAGGGTTGGAACTTGTTCATTCACGGATTCACGTACACCGGTAACTCCCACGGAGCTCACGAGGTATACAAATCCTTCGGAAGCTTCAACAATGTCTTTCATTCGATCTGTTGGAGTAGTTGGTGTAGTTAGTAGAGCCAACTCTATCTTATTTTTCACAGCTTCGATTCTCAAACTTTTTGTCACTTCAAATGGAGCGTCTGGAACCACAAGCCCATGTACCCCAACGTCCATAATGTTGTGCATGAACTTTTCAACACCATGATTAAGAATCGGGTTGAGGTACGAAAATAGAACAATTGGACAAGACAATTGTGGCACCACCTCCTTCAACATTGACATAATTGCGTTGAAATTCGTCCCTCTTGCCAAGGAACGTGTGGCTGAAGCCTGAATAACTGGACCGTCTATTATTGGATCCGAGTATGGCACGCCTAATTCGATCAAGTCTGATCCACAAGAATCGAGCATCTTCAAAGCTTGAGCCGTGGTTGAAAGATCAGGATCGCCGGCGGTGATGTAGGGGATAAATGCCACTTTGCCTTGGTCCTTGAGTTTTCTAAATGTGTGTGAGATGTTGGTGGTAGGCGAGGTAATGCTGAGAGCAGCCATTGGGGTTACTAGTCTTTTTTGGGTTGAGAGGGTACGTGTTTGAGAATGAGAATGGAGATGGAATGGGTTTTGAGGATTCTTAAGTTGAAAGCCAGTACCGGTAGTACTAGTAAATCTGAGAAAAGTAGCCATTGACTTTATAAGGGTTTGTTTGAATGTACTTTTTAAAGAGTTGAAAATGTTTTTTTATGAAGTAAAAACACTTTAGTTGTGAAAAATGGTTGTTTGACAAATTTTTCAAAAATGCTTTGAATTGAAAGTAGAAGCACTTGAAGTAGTACGATGATGATTGAGCTGCTTTAAACTGGTGGAATATTTTGGTGGGAGTTGTGAAAATATATATAAGTTCGTTCCAGGAACTAGAAGTTAGGAGGAACTAAAAGTTAGGAGGAACTAGAAGTTAGGAGGAACTTTCACCAAAACACAGAAAACAAGTTGAGAAAGTAGAATAGTCGTCGATATTCAATTAAACGTGGAAAACTTATTTCTAAGAAACATGGCGTGAGAAATGTCTTTTCTTAAAGAAAAGATAGGACCAGGGGCACACACACAGTGTGTTTGAGAGTGAGACGTTAATAGATCATGAATAGTATTAGATGGTATGAAAAACGTGGAAAATTTGTAAGAGCATGAATAATATGGATAACGTGGAAATATTAAACAGAGCACTTCCATCCATTGCAATGGCAAGAGGGAAGGGTAGTACTTGGGCCATTACTGTTTACTAGTTTCTTGTCACATGCTTATGCATGTTGTAATTGTAATTGACTCTTTTCTATTGTTTTACTTTTTTTTTTTAGTTTTACTTACTTTAGATATTATTGTTTTTTTATTGAAATATATTTGAAAAAATTAATGAACGTAACCACACACAGCGTCACTATGTGGGTTCTTTTTTTGTGAATTTTTTTATTTTTGAAATCTTAATGGAATAGGAATAATTTGGGTATATGAAAGCTTCACCATTTTTTTTATAAAAGCACCCACCTAATGGGGGTTTCATTTGAAAAAAAAGAAAAAAAAATCAAATACTAAGTTCATTCAAAATGTCGTGAATTACTATTTTATCCCCAGAAATAAATTGTTTTATTCCCTAAAAAAAGAGGGCATTTCTTGGGATTTTGAAAGTTTTCACAGTTTTTGTCCTCTCATATATATATAATAGCAGAGAGCACACATTTTGTGTGCGAACAATTTCTCTTAATAAGTGTATATTTTTTTAAATATTACATAATTACTATTTTGTTATCCTTATGCAAATATTGTGTATCAAGAGTGAGGGTAAAATTGGAAAAATAAGTAATTGTTATTTTCTAAAAAAAGGGTAAAATAGTAAAAATAAGGATATGATTGTCATTTTTTCAAAAGATACAAAATTGCTATTTTGCCCTCCTCATGTCAACATTGTGTATTCAAAAGTGAAGGTAAAATTGAAAGAAAATGGGGCAAAAATTTGACAAGCCCTCTTCTCTTAATAGAATTATATATATATGATAGAAATTTCTCTAACAATCATTGTTCGCATTTTAAAATTTCAAGAGAATAAAGATATGTAATATAGGTAAAATTGTATGGAGTTTTGGTGTCAAAGTAAAGAGAATGGTAGACGGTGGGGGAATCGGTGATGATAGTGATGGTGGAAAGGTGACGATGATGATGGTTGGTGGTGGTGGCCGCAATAGTTGTGATGACGATGGTGAGTCGTGGTGGCTGCGATTGCGCTGCCAATGTAGACTATGGTGGGTGGTGTTGGTGGCACCAACGGCAGTGGAAAAGGTAGTGATGGGCGCTCATGGTTGAGGTTTTTTTTTTTTTTTTTTTTTTTTTTTTTTAACTCTCACTCGTGGAATCTTGGAAGATGAATTTAGACTTGGAAATTGGAGATCCTAAATTCTAATTTTTTTTTTCACACAAAAATTCAATATTTCTATGTTTCATGAATTCAAACAAGGCAATTAATGCATGTTAACTTTTTAATTTTTTTTTTGTCCAAATTTCAAGTTATTTCTTTCATCCAAACAGAACGCAAGCAAGTAGAAAAAGGATAATACAAGTTTGTAGTTTCTGAGGCAGACACACACCATTTAAAGTAGAAATTATATAGTAGTACAGCAATATCACGTCAGCCGTGATACTTCCAATCAAATTTCGCCTTTTGTCCTTATTTTTGCAGAGCTAGAATTTTAATATCATTTTGACATTTTAAAAATTAAAAAGAAAAAAAGAAAAAAAAAACAGAGGAGATGGACGACCCTTTGTTGGAAAATCTTAGTATTTTGGTTTATGTGAATGTTTGGTTTTCTGGGCTTAACAAGTTAGCATTAGGGTTTTGATTTCTTACATTTTAGGATTAGGGTTAGTTTATTATAAATAGCATGCTTGTTATTCAGTCGAGAACAAGTTAGTCACGATGTAGCCTATTGTGGTTTTGTAATCGTTCCAACATTCTCGTTTGTTTAATAATATTCTTATTAATTTGTAGTCTTGTTTGTTCCGCACTCTGATATTCAACTTGATATCAAAGCAGGTTTGATCCTTTGGGATTTAATTTGCCCTTGATTTGTATCAGTTTGTTTGTCTGTTTTGTTCGTTGTTTAGATTGTCGTTGGTTTAGTTTGAAAAAAAAAATAATATAAAAAACCTATCATCACCAAAACCTAAAGTATGTAATCAAAGCCGTCGCTCGCACCAGATCCTGCCCAAAAACTGCTCAGCTTGCACTTGATCCTGCATCTGCATTAGTTCGAACCATCGCCTGCCATTGATTAACACTGCCACACCACCAGCCCAGCCACACCGCCTTGCTGCCCAGAACTTGAACCTATACGATCCAATTATTATTTGCATATGACGCTGCAAATGCATGCAGTTAATCCGTACCTATTGAACCTGCATCTCGCTCGCCTCGAACCAGTCTTGCCGCCTGCTTGAATCTCCCGCGCCCACCCACCACCTGCAAATCAGCCTTGAACCTCTCCATCCTTATTGCGCTGCTACATCCACCGATCCACGAATCTGATCATTTTGTTGTTGTTGTTCTAAGGGAAGATTGATTCAATGCAAGAAAAAATTATGTTTGTTGAAGGTAATCATTCAAAAAAGTTCCAGGAGAAAGGGAAAAAAAACAAGGTTTGATGTCTTTGAGGCCCACATGAGTTGTTGGTTTGTTTGAGATTATTTTGTGACCGTCACTCGAGTGCTTGGAATTGTGACCACTTAAGTGATAGTGTTTGTGTTTGTTCATTCGTTGCTACAATTGAGATATGGAAATCCCGTCTGTTTAGTGACGGGTTCTTTCTATATTCTCAACACTAGCCAATCTGAATCAGAATCAGTTTACCTTCCAGAATCAGTTCGCCAATTCGCAAGTTCACAAGTCAAGTTAAGTCAAGTGTCAAGTCAGGTTAAGTCAAGTGTCAAGTCAGGTCAGGTCAAGTCAAAGTCAAGTCAAGGTCAAGTCAAGGTCAAGTCAAGTCAAGGTCAAGTCAAGTCAAGTTAAGTCAAGTCAAGTTGCATGACAGTCTGCCTAACGAAGCTAGTCCGCATCTGCTTGTTTGCAAACTCATGTTGTATACCACCATGAGTTTGACGAGGGGTGTTGAAAAATATTAGTATTTTGGTTTATTTGAATGTTTGGTTTTCTGGGCTTAGCCCGTTAGCATTAGGGTTTTGATTTCTTACCTTTTAGGATTAAGGTTAGTTTATTATAAATAGCATGCTCGTTATTCAGTCGAGAACAAGTTAGTTATGATTTAGCCTATTGTGGTTTTGTAACCATTCCGGCATTCTCGTTTGTTTAATAATATTCTTATTATTTTGTAGTCTTATTTGTTCCACACTCTGATATTCAACTTCCTTCCCCTTCCGACCTAACCCCTCCCTTCCCGATGTCTTCCTAGCCATTCCTTATTCCCAAAACCCTAAGCCATTCCTTCTTCCCCGAACCCAACCTTCATTCTTCCCCGAACCCAACCTTCCTTCATCCCCAAACCCTAACTTCGACGATTTCTTTATCTAATTAATTTAAAGAATTAATTAGAGAAAATGATGATCCCCAATTGCAGCCTTCCTTCTTCCCCAAAACACAGCCTTCCTTCTTCCCCCGGCTGGAGGTTCTTTGTTTACAGCTATCAATATTTTTACGCCAGATTGCAAAATACACCAAACCTTCAATACAATTCTCATCGATTAAGAGTAACCATTACTCTTCCGAATCTAATATTAATTGAGAGATGTAGAGAGAAAAAAAATATATGTTGGAGAAGAAAGGCAAGGCCTACGGGCGGCAGCTATGGCCGCATAATTATTTTTCTATTTTCTATTTTTTAAAATTTTTATTTTGTAAGACTAAAATATATATTTAGTCTAACTATAAATATATTGTACAGATGGCAGATTTTAATTGGAAATATCACAGATGACGTGGTGATACAATAACATTGTATAATTTCTCCATTTGAAGAGAGAGTAAAAGCATAAGAGAATATTTTTCTTTTTTGATAATGTGATACTTTTTTATTGATTTTTGTGAATGTCTAGGAGAGATTGATGGTGTGGGTCATAGTATGAGCAATTATTAGGTGGTTATAAGAGCAACTTCACCCATGTCAAAATTACTCTGGCAAAATTCATGTGCCAAATTCTGTATGGGCATAAGTTTTGAAGGAGCGTTACTTCCCTCATCCACCTTTCCTGGAAGCCAAGAAAGGGGGATGACCTCTTGGGTTTGGTCTAGTTTATTGGAGGGAAAAAACCTAATTCTAAAAGAAAAGGTGCAAACTGGCAAATTCTTAGTGGGCATCAATTAAAAGTGTGGAGGGACAAGTGGATCTCGTGCATTACAAATGGACACCCTAACCCTATTATTGATTAGGTAGTGGACAAGGATCATGTGGTGGACTCTATTATTCATACGGATCCATAGGTTAGCAGCTTGACTTTATCTCCAACTCGATCTCGAATGAGGAAGGAAAAGCAATTTCATTGATCCAGATTGGAGATTCCAGGAGTCCTGACAGGCTAATTTGGACAGCGAATAAAAAAGGCCGATACTTGATCATATCGGGATATAGATGGTTACATGGTTTGTCCCTGGGTTGAGGCGCTTTGGTTTGGAGGGACCCCTCAATTACAGGATTGACAGAGCTTCGATCTCTACATTTGATGCATGGTTGAGAAGGTTGGATATGGCAAACTTTGGTAACAAGCAGGAAATCGAGGATTCTCACGACGGTGGCATTCACTTGTTGGCACATCTGGAAATCCAGATGCAAGGCCATCTTCAACCAAAGCCATATGTCTCCTGCTCATACCATGTAGGCCATATCATGTGCGAGTGAG